TTCTTGGAGAAGCTTTGAGAAAGTTAACAGAAAGATAACGGAAGAAGGGATGGAAGTGATGGATAGTAACAGCCCAATAAACAGAAGTTACAAAAAAGGTTATTTTTTTCTATTCTTATAGGTTAAGGGTTAAAACCGTTATGTTATAAGCTGAGGGACCAAAACCATCCAACTTATCAAGGTAAGGGGTTATTCTTAGGCTTTTGCATGAAGAATGGAGAAATTCAAAAGATGGGGCCAACGGTGAATAAAAAAAAAAAAAGAGAAGAAAAGGAGTGCAGCCGGCAATGACTCAAAAAAAAATAAAAGAAAAGTAAGTTTCACTTTTCCTTACTTTTTGGGTCTTGAAAATTAATTGAATTTGAAAAAAGAGTGGCTGGGGTTTATCTACAAAATTGCTCCAGGAGATATTTGTGAAGTTGTTTTTAAAAGGAATTTGACATGTGACATAAGTAATTATGGTGAGGGAAGTAATTTATTTAATTAAAACATTTAGATTTATCTTAATAAAATCAAGTGTTGGAGGTATTGTTTATATCATAAATTGTAAAATTTTAAATTAATGTCACTTGTAAAATTTTTATTGGTTGAGGAGTTTAAACCATATTAGATTCGGATTTTGGGTCCCATGACGGATCAGCACATGTGTTGGCAAGATAGGAGAGGTAAAGATAATGTTTTATGAAGTAAATATCTTCTTGAAACATAAAGAGATAATGACAGCTGGAAAATAAGGGAAGATCACAGTTAAAAAAGAGATTTTATCTGATAAAATACAAGTGGTGAAATCTGTAAGGAGATAAGACTAGATCAAAGGTAAGGTGTCTCACTACTTCAAAAAAATCACTCATAATTGGGTAATTGTAAAAAGTAAAAGTTACAGCCGACACATGGGGAACAAAAAGAAAATTTTGAAAGGAAGAACACAGGTGTAAACAGTAATAATCTATTATCTCTTTAAATATTTATAAATTATTGAAAAACCTTTTAATATAAGAACATAAAAAGTAATTTTTTTAATCAAAAGAAGTGAAAAAAAATGGCGATATCAAAACATATCTCTTTTCATTTTTCTTCTTGGTTTTATGTTAGATTGTCATGTCATAATCAATTTTGAAGAGTCAGCTTAACATTAAATAAAAACTTGAAGAGTTAGCTCTTCTTTCTTTCTTTCTTTCTTTTTTTTTCTCAGTTTACTAATTGATGAGGGAAACTTGAAAATTTTAGGAGTCATTTTGCCAAGCAATGAAAAAGCAAAAGTAAAGGAAAAAGAGAAAAAAAAAATCAATAGTAGGTTATTTAAGTAAGGAAAAAAAGTTAGGATGACTAGAGGTTTCAGTCTAAGGGCTAAGGCCACGGCATACTACCAACACAAGTGATAAATTACTGTAGAATTTAGTTTTTTTTTTTAAAACAAGTTCGCAAAGAGCTAAATTCGAACCATTGCCTTAGGAAGAGAATGCACTTATATGTGGCCTAACATCATTAAACCTTCATGAAATTTAGTTGTTGGAATGTAAAACTATAAGGAATATACATAGTAAAGTGTAATTCTATTATGTAACTCTATAGGTAATTAGGCCATAAAAATATTACATAAGCAATTAAATGGCCTTTTCATTATCTCCTCGTTCTGTGATTCTATCTACATGACATAAATTTCGTACCATTGAACATTGAACATTGAACGTGTGTGAAAGAGAGTTCTAACTTGTGAACTGCTCGATACTTTCATACTCGTAGAAATTAGTTGATTGCCAAAAGCGTGCTGGCATTTGAAATTAAAAGAAGCATGTATTCCACTAGTTCCATCTCACCAAAACTTGGCTTCTGGAGGTGCATTCTCTCTGAGTTCCTTCTCTGACAGCAGCTTCAGTTTCTACAACATTAATTAAAAATGATTACAACATATGAGCTATATCTACACAATAAACAGTATCTCCTTATGTGCGTGCGCACAAATGTATGAGAATGACTTTTGACGCTAACTAAGCATTGAGGAACAAGCTCAGATTATGTTGATGTACAGCAAGCTCCCATAAAGCCCTTGAAAGTACTTCAAGTATGATAATTATGAAATTCAATGTCAAGTATGGAATGAAACTATCTCCCAGATTTTAACCAATACCATGGTGCTTAATATCTAACTGAAGAATGAATAATGTAAACAGATGTTGTTTACCATGATATATTGTGGAGGATCATCAAGGGTTGTACAACCTAAGATAACTTCCCTCTTTAGTTTTCCTGTGAGCTTGTGGCATGTTCGTAACTGACAGAAGAACAAAACCACATAAGGCGAATGCAAACAGTGAAAGGGCATCAACATAAGAGAAGCCTATTGGCAATTTTACCTCCGATCGAGTTGCTCCACCAATGATGAATACAAATATACGCTTTCCCATCCTCTTGTGATCAGTACATGCACTCTTTAAAACTGAATCACTACACGAAAAAGGCACAATATATATTTGAGACTCCATAATCCAATATTTATGAGTTATGAAGTATAAAGAAATAGGCTAAACTGATATTTATCACGAGTTATCATTTTGAGAGTCTAATCTAACCAGTGTGGCACTCGTGATCGGACCAGGTCTCTAATATATGACATACTAAGATACAAAGGTACCTAGAATATCCATCATCTGAATGATGAGGTCGTGCCCAATTTGCAGTTCGTCTTGATCTCACTGAATGGGCAGGAATTTTTCTTTCTGGAGCAGCAGCAGGTTTTGCTCGCATGGGTACATCTTGGGAGTCATCGTGGACAGTTGAACTCTGATTCACACATGAATATTCATTCTTTGGTAATCCACCTTTGCTAAGATTTTCAATGAGCTCCTGCAATACGAAATGAACCATGTCATCTGTTGTCGAATACTCAATATATATATATATATATATATATCGAAGCTCACTTCCATAACACTCAATTCCAGGACAGGTATAGAAAGAAAATAAAGGAAGTATCCATGTATTTTACAAGATGGTTTTACTCATATTGTTGAGCAGTGTTTTAATTTGGGTTTCCTCTTTGAAGGGATCTTTTACCTGAATTTTTATTTTGGCCAAGTCTTTTACCTGAATAACTAGGAGTATATATTGGAGCAATTCAAAAAGTATTAAAAGATGGTGCATAATCTATGGAATGTGCTGCATCATATTAATCACAAATCAAAAGAAAAAGAGAGAAATTATACCTCTACCACAGGATAAAACCGAAATAGTTGCCATGTTTCTTCCTCACCTGTTCGATCTTTTCTCGCTGCATGCTTTGTCTAACATCAAAAGAACTTTTGTCAACTATCAGTCTAAAGTGTGTTGATGTGTTGATAAATGCAGGAGGATCACACATTGACCTCAAACAGTTAACCTCAAAGCTACTTATACTCACCTTTTGGACATCAAACTTGAGCGAGAAACCAGTAGTTGCCTTCTTTGATTCCGTTGTTCCTCCAAGAAGTTGCATATTATTTATCGCTTTCATATCATCCAGAGATAATCTAGCCAACTGATAAATAATAAACCCAAAAAAAAGGTAAAATTCATTCAACTGATTCTAACAGCATCGTGAAGATTTGTTTTGTAAGCAATTGGAGGATGTTAATGGGAAACTTTACAAGAAGCAAATAAAGACAATTTGTAATTAAGTTATTGAAAAACAGCCATGTTAAACTGGCGAAACTGTTAAAATATTCTGGCAAGTAATGTATGGATCTTGAGGAACAAAAACTAATATGTTGCTAATCCATTGTGCTTTCAAAAGCTTGAGTAAAGCATAGCAGTGGCACATGCCATAGACCATTGGCATTATCATGGCAAGCAAGATAGTCTTTCACATTGGTCCTCCAAAACCAAAACCTACTTTACAATAAATCAATGAGCCTTTTTACTTTCAGATGCAGAGGAAAAAGCAAGGGGAAAGTATTCAGTCCAAAAACTAATGCATGAGTTATCATTAATTTCATGATTGAATGATAATGTGCTCGTGAGCTTCAAGAAACTTTTCCCTGAAACAGCACGGTCTTCTACCCATGATTGAATAGGGTTTATCCGTTGTTTTGTTAACATTAAGAAGGATACATTAGCTACCTGCATTAATTTTGAACCCTTGTCACCCTCAAATTTCTCAGGATAGACAAATGCATATATCATCAACAATCGCAATTTGTTTTCTGGAGTAGCATCCTGTTATGGATTAAACAATAAAAGAGAATGTTATGGAATCGCAATTGGTAAAATTAAGGTACAAAACTTGACACCAGAAACACCAACTGTTATCCAACCACTAGCCGTGTCACCTGATTTGTCCTGAGAAAGTTGATGACTTCCTTGGCTCCTGCATCTCCAAAAACAAGATTCTGCTCTAATTGCCCGAGGTCTCGAAGCCCCATATCCCTGATAAGTTTGTTAATCTTTCCAGCAATCTGCAATGCAAAAATCAGAGGCCAAACAATCAGCAAAAGCATCACACAAACATGCCTTTAATATGTATGTATTATAAGCATTTCCTTTGGCCATTTCCTTACAAGTATTCACAAGCTCAATAGTTATCTGTATTTAGTATCAAGGATTGGATAATGATGCTTTCCCTTCAAAATCCTAAGTCCAGTTTTGGTTAAATAGCTACAAGCAAACTTAAAATTGGTTTTACTCTATTGCTTGTGTAAACTACAGTGAAGCAATTTACAAACTGTTTGTCTATTAATACCAAAACCAGACATGTGCAATGAAGTACAATGACAAATGAACTATTGAAGTAATAAAATAATGGCAGCCGATCTTCACTTGTCTATTTTGCAGGATTTCTAATAGCTAAAACCTGGACATTGCATGTAATCTATTAATCAAATATATCTCCATGCTATTCAACAGGAAAAAAATGGCACTTAAGAAGGATGAAATAAACCTCAATATGAAGGGAGAGCTTCTCCATGACTTCATTATATTTTGGCAAAGCTTGAACAACTTTTTGCAAGTCTCGAGTAGATATTTCACTACCTTCCCTGCATTATTGGTCATCAAGCCTCAATATCAACTCAATTCTAAGTAATAAATCTCAGGTGCCAATTTGCAGTTTTAAGAGTAGCCATTTTTGCAAGAATGCCAAGAAAAAGACCATCCAACCACATTCTTCCATGAAGATGTTAGAATTAAAATGGTATCAATTAGTAACTGATAACTAATAGGAAACGCATGTTAGATATCTGGAACCTTTCAAATTTAGAGAGTTCAAAATTTGAGTGGCTGGTAAGTAAGAACACCAACCTTGAGCTCTGTTGAATCTGTGCCGCTTTATTCTTTGACTTAAAAGTGGTAAACTTGTCATGCAAGCGTTCACTGGCCTAATATGCAAATTGTGAAATATAGCACTATCTTTATCATATTTCCAAGCTAAACAAATAACACAAATGCATGAGACATACATCTGCTATGTGTGCATGGCGTAACTCCAACCAAACTGAATCGTTATCCTCCAGAAGAACCTCCTTATTTTCGGGTGGGCCTCCTGTTTTGCTAGGAAGCTAATATACAGAATTAGTTATCCTAGATAATAATAATCGTAAATGAAAAATACTAATGAAATAAAGGAAAGCATGGTTCTTGGAAAACTATTGATGACAAGACTTACCTCAAGTACATATTTGTTTCCATCCATTTCAAGTAAATCATGGCACATAGCATCATATGTCCATTCATGTATCACAGGAGCAATCTAAATATACAAGGCATGTCACATTCAGCAAAAATAAACTTGCAGAGCCTGCCAGCCTAGAAATAGAAATTCATATAAGGAGAAAATAGTTAACCTGATCAACAGATCTATCCAGAATGAGCAGCTCACATGTTTCAGTCTGTGGAAAGCTGGGAACTGATTTGTATTTTAAAAGACAGTTCCATACAGCCTCAGCAAGTTTAGTTGGAATTAAGTCACTCGCTTTTACAGTAGTTCCATCTTGTGCCTTGGCAACACGATATCGCACAAGTGGCAGCTCCTGGGCAATCCAAACATGTGCTAAGTTTTTTCAAGAAATGATTCTATATTCAATTGAAGGAACTTGTTTTGACATGGAAAGTATGATTGTTTATTTTCAAAAAAAAAAAAAAAGGACTTGGAAAGTCAGCATAACTAATCCAAATTTTTAGCCAACAATCTCTGGTACCAATTCAAAAGCTATTCACTGTGTCTTTTACAAAGTCAGAACCATGCCCAAATGAGGAGCAGAATTCCAGATTGACAACCTGATCAAAATTGACAGCTGGATCGTTTATCACGAGGGTCAAAATTATTTCTTTCTTACCTTGTTCAATTTGGATGGTCAAAAGGATTCTAGCAGTTTGTGTTGAATTCTTATGATAACATGACAGAGAAAGAGGGAGAAGGCAGTGGGAGAAATTTAAGTTTTTAACGTAAAATTTCTTTTTTAAAGAGACAGTTAAAGAGCAAAAATAGGAGAAGTGGAAGTCTGGGCTGACATTTCACAAAATTGGAAAGAACTGGAGTCAGTCTGATCTGCAAGCAGATATGAAAAATAGATTCACCAAAAAAGAAAGAACTGAAAAACTTTGTAGACTACCATAACCACTTCCTCTCTAGTCCGATAAAGGCATAATTATGCCTAAAAAATTAGACTACATCCTTTATCTTCAACCCATTCTTTAAAACTAGAAATTAGTTGGATTGACTTATTGCTGATCAAAAAATTGGATTGACTTAAGTATGTGATACCATTTCCTCTAATTGACTTTATAATTTTATATAAATGAAGTATGCCGACTTCTAATATTCATACCTTCAATGATGCAAAAACTGTAGCAATTCGAGTTGCCATTGTGTTCAAGCAAGCATCAAATTTGCGAGACTTCTCTGCATCTTCACAAAAGAGATCCTCCAATGCTGTTTCTTGATCAGTGATGAAACCCTGTGTCAAGGAATTTTAGTAGACCAGAATGGTGCTATATTTTCTCTACATCAACCTAACTCAATCAAGCCCAACTTCAAACTAATGTGGATAGGGAGAACATGGTTTGTCTGTAAAAAACTTTCCCCAATGAAACAGAGTTTATGCACAAAACACAAATACATTTTCTACTAAAACAAATCAATTTTAGCTAAAACCAATCATGTTATTCTTGCAGCATAAAACTTCAATGACATTAGTATTTGAAATAGTGTGCATAGAGATTCAGATGCTAAGATGACTCTACAAAAATAAAACACAGACTTTGATCATCATTGCAGCAATGGAAACGAAGTAATGAACAAAAATTATTGCTTTTTACCTGGCTATCTATAGGAAAGTACTCCAAATTCATCTGCAATATAATCACCAAAAAAAATTATACATAAAAGTGCAAGAAATATTACATGCAATAAGAATGAACAAAAATAAAAGAATCCAAGACCTCTCTCAATGCACCAATGCGAGGCACCACACTTGAGTCACTCTTAATGTGATTAACAAAATCCTTTGGGACAGGTGAACTGAAAAATACATATGCTCTAGTGGGGAGAGGAGACCAGAAACATTATGAGAAAAATGATAAGCTCAATTTCATTTAAAAAAAAAAAAAAACAAAAACAAAAATTGAATTTCTTAGAAAAAGATAAAAGGGAAAAAGGTTCCAATTACATACTTCCTATATAAAGGCTCCCTTCCAGACATGTCAGATATGAGCATGACAAGACTGCATGCTAGCAAAAGATAGGGTTAAAATGGATCCAAAATTCTACTGATGGCTTAGCATTATGATAGAAATGATCCAAAGCAGCTGTAAGAAAGTGTAATTCTGGATGTCAAGTGAAGAGAGCAGGGAAAAAATTAACTCAGAAAGCAACGAGCCTTGACCTTTGCTTTGACAATCAATTTGCTTCCTGAATTAATTTTTCTTTTTGGTACAAAAACTTTTGATTTTTGCAATATGATTAATTGTTCATGGAAGTAGATGGCACCACTTAAATGAGATTAAAGCTACTAAATACTTCAGCAGGTGAACAATCACAAACACAATTGATAATGGTAACCCAAGAAAATCACCACTACACATTGGTTAACCTTGAACATTAACCAAAAAAAAAATTTACCATTCTATAGTTGTTACTTTGCAACTTTTCTAATATTTTAACTGCTTTTCTTTTTATTCTTTCTTTTTTTTTTTTTTTACTTCAATTGGAAATTCAAAAATCCTAAACATTCAAAATTCTAGTGCCTGTGACAAATAATATGACAGCTTTTTGCTGACTTCAGTTAGCAACAAAAATTATCTAAATGATCAATGACATAGCCTACAAGATTAAGAATTTCCAAGTAGTTATACTCACTTTATAAAGGGGCAAAGAATTAGCTCCAACTATGGTAGCTCATACAGGGTTGAATATTATTTAAATGCAATTCAACACATGACAATACTGCAATAATGTAGACCATAAAAAATAAAAAGCAAAGTGCTAATTGTTCCAATGCATTTTAACTTAATTCCAAATAAGTAATATATATCCCAGAAAAGTAAAATTAAGAGGGTATACTTTTCTTTTGATGGTTGGATAAAATATATAGCATCCATGGAGGGCAAAGGTTGCCTTCTTCTGAAAAGGTCTTCAACCACTGCAAGGCAGAATAACCTCTACTAAGTTATATTTTTGTAGAAATCAGCAGTCAGTAACTATACAACAACACTATTACTCGCTGTTCTGACTCTCAACGAGACTAATGAATATTGCCAGCATATAAAGCAGCATGTAACACCCTTGCTTGAATGGAGGTGGATAACAAATTACATTTCATTCTCTACTGTTTTCTTTTTTCTTTTTTCCTCATCTGAATCTGTGTTTGATCAGAATTGGAACTTAGAAGTCATTAACAAGCTGAATTAAAATAAATACATTTGGATGCTTACGAGAAATTCCTTGATCTGTAATGTCTGCCATTTTACATGAGTGAGACATGACTTTGACTGTAACTTTATCCATTATGAGCACCTACCAAATATCAACATAATCTAAATCATAATTGTACAGAAATTAGAGAAAAACTTGAATGAGAGCTTAAGAAAAAAAAAAAAAATCGAAGAAACCTGAGCAACTAGCAGATCATAAAACTGCAAATGTTGAGTAAAGTTTTTATAAAAATAATGTTGAGCTTTTTAGAAAATAGTTAATAATAACTAAAATGTAAGAATATTATATTCCTTCTGAGAGCTGAAAAAGAAAAAAAAAAAATCCCTAAAAGTAAAGGAGAAGGAAAATCTATATTTGAAAAGCAAAAGGAAACAAAAGATTTGAAGCTTTGAAACAAAAATTGCATAAAACAAACCTTCCAATCAGATTTTGCATCATCTGTTTTCGTTGATCCAAGCATTTCATACAGTAGCCCTGAAATAAAGCAAAATCACCAAGAATATCATCCAAAAGACTCCATAGCGTAAACAATAGAAAATAATCACATTTTCTTGGCAACCAACCAGAGTCCATTGACACGAAAAAAACTTCCACAATACGGTATTTTATTTTTACCCAAAAAAAAAAAAAAAGCCAGACATAAATTGAATTTCAGCTCCTAATCCTCTCGTCATTTTCAAACTGAAACGGAGTTGCTCTACTTCTAAAATTGGCACTAAAAACATGAATTCCTTTTGGTAGCCCGGATTTTCTATATTCTTATGAAATCTAAAGAAAAATAAAGCTTCAACACAATGAGCTGAAAAGGAGAGATTTCAAAGAGAAAATACTTACGATCCCGACTGAATTGACGGAAAAACTTATAGTCTCCGCTTCCGGCATGAGCTGACGACTCAGAATCCGAAAACGACATTGCTATTGCCTCTGGTTCTACGGTAGACAGTTTTTCGAGATGAAGAAAACGATGATAAAAGGAAAAAAAAAAATCGAAATAGAAAAGCGAGAAATTTGAAGAGAGAAAGAGGGAGAGTGTGTTGCGTTTGTGAGATGAGAGGGAGAAGCGGAGTGTGTGTATGTGGCCGTTGCATTGTGTGGGGTCGGTGTTCAAAGGCATGCGGATTTCGCTCCATTTATTTCGCGGAACAACGAAGGGGAACGATGTACAATGGTACGACGACGTTTAAGTGTCTTGTTAGACGCACTGATCCAGGCCCATTTTCGTCCGTTTCAAAGCCATCAACAGTAACGTTCGTTATGGCAATTTTGACCTTTGCTTCCCTTAACTATTATATGGATTTCTAAATTAATTCTTGAAATAAAAAAATTCATGATTTGATATTTAAAATTTTTAAATTTAACTTTAAATTAATTTTTTTATTTAAAAATAATTGATATATTTTGTTATTAATACGATATATAATTATTAAGTAATGATCTTTTGTTATTAAGTAATAGATATATTAATTATTTTTTAATAAAAATATCAATTTAAAATTAAATTTAAAAATTTTAAAGATTAAATAAAAAAATTTTAATTTAAAAATTAACTCAAAAATTCATATAACAATTGAAAGATCAAATAAAGAATTTAACCTTTGACCTTTAAAGTGGGTTGAATTGGACATGGACACACTAACCTTTTAAGCAGTGCTTTGCATTGAACGTGGACGATGTCAAAAATAAATAAAAATAAAAATAAAAACACAAATTTTGTTTAATATTAATCTCTTTGTACCTTATAGTTATATTAATTTTAATTAATTTAAAATTAACACCAAATTTTATAAAAAAAATTTCTTAATATTTATTTTTCATTTATAAAATTTAAATTTATAATTTTAATTAAAAAAATAATTTTTTTATTTAAAATAATATTTCAATAATAAAAAAACCCCATTAACCAGGGGGTTCTTACCCAGTTCTTTCAAAAAAAAAAAAAAGTTAATACGAAAGCATGTGTGGGTACCACACCATGATATGACGTTTTCTCATGCGTCAGCGCGTAGCCGCCGCCTGCCAATGGATAAGTATACATTAATGAGGGCATCTATCCTAAATGTGTGGTGTTAAGGCAATAGTTTTTTTTATATTACTATTATTTATATAATTTTTATATATTATTAAATAAATATATATTTAATATTATGAATCTTAAATAAATTTAAAAAATTAATTATTTTAATAATATATTAAATTATATAAAAATAAAAATTTATCCAAAAATCATTTCTCATTCTAAATAAAATCAATGGCAAATGGCCATTTTTAATATGCCTGACCGATCTGTTATCTATATGTAGAGGGAAAATATGATCCCATAATGGTGTATATGATAATTTTTTTTTTTTTTGAACATTTTGTCATGGAGTTAGCTCGAACTATTGCCTAGAGAAAGGAGATATGAACCTTACAAGTGTCATTAGAACCATTTGATCCGAAGGGTCAAGTTCAGTGTATATGATAATTTTTTGTATGTAATTGTGTAAATATACATTAATATTCTTTACGTTGCTATTTTCCTTGCATTTATATCTTTCTTTTTTGTGATAAAAAAACTATATTAAAGAAATTAAATAACAGTTTTAGTTCTTAAAATTACTATTATAATGTAGTTACAAAATAACAAAAAATGAGAGTTTAAAGGAACTCTTATTCATAATAACATAATCAATAAATTTTGCGAGAAAATTTGTTACTGCATTTGCATCTCCATAAATATGGACTAGTTTAAAGTTAAAAATCTAGCCAAGCATGTGCCTACACAATCAAAGATTAAAACATCAAATGAGTGAAAATCTTGTTTAACAGTAACTAAAATGATTTTAGTCACTTTTGAATTAATTTTCAAGATCAATTTGGATATTCCCCTAGTAACAGCAAGTTCCAAGCTATCAGTGATAACTCAGAATTACGGATAAAAACTTATTTTTAATTTTTTATTTTATTAAATTTAAAAGTTTTAATCTTTTATTTTATATTATAATATTTTTTACCACTCATTTTATTAAATTTATACATTTAGTCATTCACTTATTAAAATAAAAAAATTAGTTCTTATTTTATACTAATTGTTAACTCTGTTAGTTAAAAATAAATTTTTATCAATTAATAGTCAACTAATAATTAATTAATAGAATTAACAAAATATTATAAAATTAATTATGTTAACTCTGTTAACTGAAAGAATATTTTTAACAGCTAACAATTAACTAACAGT